TTGAAAATACGAACTTCATGTTCTGCTGATAGGGCTCTTCGAAGGCCTGAGCAACAGGGGCTGTCCCGCAAGGCACTTTGAGATGCGTGCTCAGGTATGCCTGGATTTCTGTCTTAGAGTAGCATGGGATAGTAACTTTGTAGGTGTCGAAGGCTGTGATAACATAAGAATTGTGAACTTTGGCATTGCAAAAGATAATGAACCTGTAGTCAGGGACTGTAGAAGATTGCAGCAAGCGGAAGAAGTGGGACTCCAGTTGTTTGGAAACTTTGTACACTAATTTCTCAGCACCCAGCAAGCAGTAGATTTTCTGGTTTTGAGAATCAGACGAAAGAGCTCTCCTAACAATCAGCTCCACTTCTTCCTCCTCTGTGTCTGGTGTGCACACCAGGACCTCATCATACGTTGGGAGAGGTGCTGTCTCAGTGTATTTGTAAATGGAGAGCATGTAGAGTAACATTTCCTCTTCTTTACACATGATTAGAGAAGGTTTCCTGGCTTCAAGGCCTACTGGTAAACTTCTCTTGATACATGTGGTTTCAAGAGCTGCTAATTGCTTCAGTGTTTCACCGAAGACATCCAGGCTGATGTATTTGTCTGACACAAGGCCAGTGAATTTCTTACAATAAGCATCCCAGAGCATATTCACTTTGTCATAGATGGATGGCAAACTCTCAAAGGAGGTGGCCAGTTCATCTTCTGCAAGGGTGCTAAAAGTTGCCTGGTCAACACCTCTGTTTTTCTTTTTAAACTTAGTTGACTTCTGCAGAAAGGCTTCTCGCTGCTCATCATATAATTTGCTCAGATTTTCAACCTCTTCCTTGTCATCGCCTTGTTCAAAGGCAAAATTCATGAGCTTCTGCTCTGTAATGTCAGAGTTTGGAAGGCAGCTCTGCAGGGCTGCCTTTGCCACTGACGTATCGTAGCCAGATTCAGCCAGGCTTTTGATGAGCTGGGGAAAACGAATGACATAGTCATGCCAGGTAACAGACTCCTTGTCTCCTGCTGATGTGTTGACAGAGTCAAGTGGAGTCATGAGGGCTTGCTCCAGGGCTTTTCTAATATCTTCTGCTTTAATGTCATGCTTTATGACAGAAAGCATATTAAGAATCTGTGGCTCTATTACACTATTGTGGGCTTTGGCCAGTTGGCTACATAAATAGAAGAGCTGGTGTGCAGTGAACAGGTTGAGATGATAGTAGGTGTCCCGTTGAGTCTCCAGATATTTCTTCCACTCTACCAGGCAGTGCTCCAATGCTTTGCAAAGGCCATCCAGCTCCTCCAGAACGGGTCTGGTGCTCTGAACAAGGATGCCAGCAATTCCAAATTCTGTGTAAACTTTTACTTTGTGTTGGGGATTGCAGTAGATGTCAGCCTTCCAGTCTATGAAGAGGATATTACCAACATTGAGAAGCTGCAGGTACAACTTTCCAATCATTTGAACTTTTTCCAGGATCTGTAACATGCCACAGACAAAATAAGGAAATGGATTATCATGTGTTTTCAACAACTACTGAATACTTCTCACATTACATTTTCTTCCAAAGATCTATAAACCTGTTAAACAAACAAAAAAAATGGCTTTGGCTCAATTTTTACGTACAGCTGCTTCTCAGGATACATTCCTTGGCCAAGGACATGGTCTAGAAGTGCACATTTTCCTGGAAGACTTCTACTACTTTTCAAAAATACAGGTTCCATGGTAACTAGTACATGTCTACTGGGGCAAGAAGGTCTGTAGAGGGAGGACAGCTCCATTGTCTCAGGTAGCAAGCAAATCCCACCCCTAAAGATTATGATGAGCTGTATCCCACCCTCAGAATCACCACCTTTGAGATATTTGGCCCTTGTGAGGTTCCTTCATCTCTGACTGAAGCACTGCACTCCCTGCAATTGATCAGACAGCAAGAAGTTGAAGTGGTTCCTCAGGTGCGTAAGAGAACGCCTCACTTCAAACACCTTCTGAATAAACAACTTGTATAGGAAATAAGGAAAGGGCATTTTTGGTATGTGAAGCATCTGGCTTGGGGTGAGTGCCCACATTGGGGTGACCTCTATCACACCCCTGGATTTTCCTCTTCATTCACCGCAGCAGGAGCTTAGATGGCTTGCTTGGGTGGAGATATCCACATCATTAACATGCAGGTGAGGCCAAGACCTCAGAGAGTCAGACTTCTACACACTCCACGATCACCTTACAAGGGAATGGCTGTATTTGTAATTTGCCTTACACATGAGATCTGGGAGTCTGCTACCTCTGTTCCTGAAAAGTCAGAGCTGAAGGTCAAGGATGAGTGTCCATGAAAGAATTCTAGCAAAAAAACCCAAGCCTTACAGACACTTTTCCAAGCACAGACTGGTGTTACACTGTGGCTTACCTCCAGGAAGCGGTTTGCCTCCTCTCTGCCTTGCTCAGCTTTTGTGGTGATCAACATAAGCTTGTTCTGGAGCTCTGTGAGCTGAGCCAGGCTGTATTCTTTATCCTTCTGATCTGTCTGAGATGCTTCCTCCGTGGTATCCTTCGGCAGTAGCACTGAAACACAGTCCTCAAGGGCAGCCTGGAAAGCAGGTAAAAGGATCAGCCCTGCTCTGCCTCTTCTCTGCGCAATTCCCTATCCTTGTGCAATGGGCCTTCAAGAACAGTAGTAGTACATCCATGCATATCACAGCCAAACATCAAGTTTTCCCATGTCTTAAGATGCAGATCATTCCTTCCCTCTTCTATTGTGCAGGGCTCACTCTTTCAGGGTATGCTGCAAGCACCACTCTCCTTGAACAATGGAGTGGCAGTTCTCATTTTAAATGTTTCCCTTTCCTTTTTTTACTTTCTTAGTGATCAGATGAGTTCTTTTTTGTATTAAAATATTGCTTCCTTGCCTCCCTGGGGACAAATCCCCCCCTGTTTTGCCTTGAAAATGACCAAGGCTTAATAGAAAATGTGACATGAGGTTGTGCTCCTTTCAAATCTGACTAAAGATCTATTGGCTATCTGACATACTCCTTGGAAATGGATTTCAAGAATGTTAATTTCTTTGTGCAGAAACAATCCCCTGGAAATCACTCTTTGAAGCATGGAGAATGGTTACCTTGAATTTTTGAGGTGCTGAGATGATAAAAATCCCTCTACTGTTGATGACTCTGGCTTGAGAGATTGAGGAATGCTCTATGGAGCCATGAGAGTCATGAACCATCTGTATCCACTCTCTGTTATCACAAGAATCTTTCTGTTAAAGAAAAAAAACAACATGACAGAATGAAACCTAATAATCAGTTGGCAGCTCTGTAAGAACAATTTTGGTAAGAGTGGGGTTTCTTGTGCTTGCTGTGCCTGAAGAGACAAAGCACAGCTGTTGCACCCAAATCTGCATCTATCTTATCAGCTTTCTGAAAGCCAAAGCCAGTGAATAAGTATTTTGTGAAGCTGCTGTTCTCTGCCAGTCTATGGCAATTTGGAGGAAGGGTGTCAATTAAATTGTACCCTGAGTAGGATGTTATTGTTTCTGTGGAGAGGACTATGCAAGACAGTGCTAGACTAGACTTTCCTAGAGCATTTGATTCACTTTCTTCTGCATGTGACAACTAATGGGTCTCCTCCATTTGCCCTCACATAGGCATGTGAGGTTTATTTAAAGTGACCCAACTGGACTTCAGCCCCAGACACCATGGATTTCTCATAGGTCTTACGTCATATCCACTATGCCCACTTGGATGTCTTGACTCCCCTAGGGCATGACACCACACTTTGGCAATTCATTCTTCTAGTACAAGTCCAAGTAATTTTGGAACATGGGATTTATAGACTCACCAACTTCTTGGGCAGATTCTTGTCTTTTGCAGTGGCTTCGCTGATTAATGACAGGGCTGCAGAGAACTGTTCAAATCCAGATGTGGGTCTCAGATCATATATAATGGGTGCTGAAGCAGCCATGGCATCACGGAAGAACCTCACTTTGTCAATATCTATGTCATTTTCACCTGCGGAAATTGATGCCAGCTCTACAAATACAGGTATTTCTGTTTTGTCTGAAAAAAAAAAACCAAAACAAAACCAAATAAAAAAATCAAAAAATGAAACACATAGTTGAGGAGTTCACATAGTTGATGCATACAATGTCTCTGGCTGTTGTGACAAGTAGGGACTAACTGATCCCCTTCTATTGCCTCTCTTGTCTGATGACTATTACATCCCAGTACAACTCACCTGTTATTATGGTTTTGATCCAGGAGACAAAGCCTGTCCTTGTGCATTCAAGAAGTTCCCTCAAAAAGTCCAGCATCTCTTCTGGAAGGTTGCTCAAACTATTTTTCACCTTCATTAAGTCCTCAGTCATATAATCAAGTCTCTTATTCCTGAATTCCAGCTCTTCCTGAAAAAAAACCCCAAGACATACTGATGTGTGTCCCTTGGTAAGAGAAGAGGAAAGGTAAGCTCTGCCTCCGCCCCACACATCAAAGTTTCATCAGCCATTCAGGGTCTTTTCCAAAGGGCAAGCTTCCCAGAGACTTCTATTCCTCTCATCTGATCTATTTCGTAAACCCAGTCTGGTTATTTCAGTACAAGACCCTGCAGCAGAGGCACAGAGTTATGATATAAAACTTATCTGGCATCTGCATTGAAGTCCTGATCACTAAAAGGACCTTTCCACAAAATTTACAACATCTGCTCCAATTTTAAATTTCTGGGGAAACCCGTTCAAAACATGGAAAGCTATCCAAAGTACAATAAGTTACAGAACATCCAGCTGCTCCTTGGGAGTTACCAACGCGCTGCCCCATCATTGCAACCATAATAGAATGGTTATGACAATGTAACATTTTAGCTTATACAGGATTGGAGCAACGAGGCTTGGAGATCTGCAAAAAAGAACATGTGGAAGCCAAATTAAGAGTTGCTGGAGTTGGTAGAGAATACTAGGTTGGGATCTGTTATTTAAATCCTGGAGTTTTTAAGTCTTGGTTCTGCCAGAAACTTTCCATGGAGGCTGGGGAAGATAATACTTCCCTGTCTATTCCAAATCACTTGATGCAGAATTTGGTTGCTGACAAACACAGATGCCTGCATCCATCAGCCTCACACAAGGGCCTCAGATGCCCTTGGGCATCTCTAATGGCACTGGGAGCTCATTTGCGGACAACGAGGAGTCTGGTTAAGGATGAGCTGAATCCCATTCCTGACTCCACTTACTCCACTATAAAGGTGCCAGGCTAAAAGAGAAACTGCTACAACAGTGAAATTTATATTCCAGAAGAAAAATTCCATCCACTGTGTCCAGTATGATTTAGTTAAAAGTTAAGACACACAAAAGCAGAGGTTCCCCATTCAGACCTGCCAACACAAAAGCCACAAGAGCACTCAGTATAAACCAGATATCCACGTGTGCTCTACATACATATTTTGTTAGGTCATTGAGAATCTGAAAATTTCCGTTAAGATCAAGTGTCTTCCGCAGTTCATCAATCATCTTGGCAGTCTTCACCACTGTAGACAGGGTCAGGTAGTTTTTAATCTTCTCCACTGCAGCATCTATCCAGGCAGCTTTTCCATTCCCTTTCCCTTCACTCATCTCCATCATTTTAAACTCCTTTGTGAGTTGACTCTCATTTGCTAACTGCTTCTCAAAATGGCTCTGCACAGTTCCAAGGGTGATGGAAAAGTCTTTGAGGGCCAGATACGTACTCTGAAAGTCAGCAATGGCTGGCTTATAAATGTTTTCTTGCACATCTTCTATCAAGAGAATTTTCCCTTCAGGGATTGTGGGTTTGATTTGCTCTGCTTTTTGCTTCCACAGTCTCTGAAAATAATTGCTTTCCTCTAAGATATAAATTTTTTCCAGCATGTCAGTGTATTTAGCAAGGAGGTGCAATTCAGGAATTTTCTTCTCGCCATTCACAGAAAATTTGCTTACAGACGTCTGATCCTTAAAAATTCCTCTTTTGTCGATGCTTTTCTTCACAGTCCTTACATCCACTAAACAAGGTGGAAACAAAAAAATTAGTGAGTTTCTCCAGCTAGAAAGACACTTACCCTCTAAGCATGGAAATATTCTGAACCTGACTGCAACACCAAAGAGGGGCGTGTGTGTGTGTGTTTGGTTGGTTTTGGCAAAGTTCTTGGGGAAAAACTGAATCCAAGACCAACACTAAAACAAATGGTAGGCAAAATCAATTGTTCCATAATGAGGAAGGGAGCCTTCAAACCATGGCCTTGAAACTGTGGCAGTGTCTGTACTGTTAGAAAACAACTTGGCCCTGAAGTAGAGGTTGAGGAGACTTACCCCACCATTTGGCCCACCCCAACAGGAGAATCACTTCTATTGATTCTTGCACTCAATCCGAGAACTTCAGTGCTGGGACGTGTATGTTCCACTGTCCAGCCTGAAGAGCTCACTGGGTGAGTCTTCCCAACCAATATACATTTCTGCTCCCTTTTGCTAGCTCTGCCCTTCTCTTTACAGGTCCCAGATCTTGTCTGAAATTGTTTTTCCTGTCTGAAATGCACTTTCCCCCTACAAACATTTGTCAAAGTAGGTAATCCAACCTTGTGTATCTCTTAGAAAAATGAAATAGCTGGCACTGTTTAATCTTCCCCCATGAAACAGATCTTCCCACTATTCTGAACTCCTTCCATATATAAACTCCTACCAGACTTTCCCCATTCCTTTTTTTTCTTAAAGAGCTGCCTGCTTAGTCTCTTCTCCCAGTTACTGCTTGCCACTACACAGTCATGCAGCACCGTTTCCTGGAGGATTTGCTACCAGCTCTTTATTTTAGGAGACAGCTCCCCATTCAAGAATGACATAGGCAATCCCACCCTCTCAAATAGAATGGGATGGTACCTCTTATCACATGCTCTATGCTGCTGCATAGATGCAAAAATGAGTATCTCTGCTTCTTCTGCTTTTCCAATTGCTCATATTCCTCCCTTCTGACTTCCAGCACTCTTGCTATACAGCTGGAGACAGAGGAATCTGAGGAAAGAAAAACAAAAGCCCCTCATACCCAGACCTCAGATATAAAGGATTTTTGAGAAAATCACTTGCAGAGAGAGAGAAGAGCTACTGGAAACAACAATTGCCATTAAAAAAAGCATACTTGATTTTGCACAAGGGCTGTGTCACTTGATCTAAAAGAAGCAGAGATCCAGAGCCATTCTGATGTGATCACTGCCAAAGTCTAAAACACTCTGACACACATGGATGAAGTTCATTATTGCAGAAGAATTTGGAAGAAATTTCTTCCAGGTTTTTGTAAAATTTAGGCAGATTTTGAAACTGGCCTGTGACCGTGAAGATTATTGTGTAACCAGCATAAATAGCAACAGGAAAACTAAAAATGCTACACTAAGCTAAGCTGACTAGGTGTGGTTGACATGCCTGAGGGACGTGATGCCATTCAGAGGGACCTGGACAAGCTTGAGAAGTGGGCCCATGTGAACTTCATGAGGTTCAACAAGGCCAAGTGCAAGGTCCTGCACCTGGGTTGGGGCAACCCCTGATATCAATGCAGGCTGGGGGATGAAGGGATTGAAAGCAGCCCTGTGGAGAAAGACCTGGGGGTACTGGTGGATGAAAAACTGGATGTTAGTTGGCAGCGTGTGCTTGCATCCCAGAAAGCCAACCGTATCCTGGGCTGCATCAAAAGAAGTACGGCCAGCAGGTCGAGGGAGGTGATTCTGCCTCTCTACTCCGCTCAGGTGAGATCCAACCTGGAGTACTGCGTCCAGCTCTGGGGTCCTCAATACAAGAAAGACATGGACTTGGAGCGGGTCTAGAGGAGGGCCACAAAAATGATCAGAGGGATGGAACACCTCTCCTATGAAGAAAGGCTGAGAGAGTTGGGGTTGTTCAGCCTGGAGAAGAGAAGGCTGCAAGGAGACCTTATTGCAGCCTTTCAATACTTAAAGGAGACTTGTAAGAAAGACAGGGACAGACTTTTTAGTAGGGCCTGTTGCGATAGGACAAGGGGTAAAGGTTTTAAACTAAAAGAGCGTAGATTCAGACAAGATATAAGGAAGAAATTTTTTACGATGAGGGTGGTGAAACACTGGAATGGGTTGCCCAGAGAGGTGGCAGATGCCCCATCCCTGGAAACATTCAAGGTCAGGTTGGACTGGGCTTTGAGCAACCTGATCTAGTTGAAGATGTCCCTGCTCATTGCAGGGGGGTTGGACTAGATGACCTCTAAAGGTCCCTTCCAACACAAACCATTCTATGATTCTAACAACACAATTAAAATTCTATAAATAAATCCTAAGAACACTGCAATATTTTAGTTGCTATCCATTGTACAGAAGAATATTGTGTTCTGTCCTTCATAGTGTTAACAGGACTTAAAAATATCGCCTGTATTCAACTTTTATATTTTTTACTTTTGTGTTTGTTCTTTTGCAGAGGATTTTTTTGTTTTCTTTGTATTTTAGATACCTTTCCAATAGATATATTTTCTATTTGCTGCATTGCATAGGAAAACACACCACATGGAACTACTGTTTTGGGAAATAAATTTGGAAACTGTGAGCTTACCGCAGACGCACAGTATATTCTGAAATGGCACTTGATACTGCAAGATGATGGACAGTATGTTGCAGGTGATGTCTCCTGAGAAAACTTGACGCCTCAAAAAGCAGAAAAAATTGGAAAACTGGGAAAGCAGGATTTTTGCTTTTTCATTAATCTGATTTTGAAGCTTGTGCTCTGATTTTTCTGTAAAATAGATGAAATCTAGTGATAGAGCAGTGCTTTCAACAGAAGCAGTTTCCCCACTGGATTTCTTTTTAACATATATCCTCAGGAAGAGTTAGCAGCTTCACAGCTCCCTGCCTCCAAGCCATGAATAGCAAGGGGATCTGTTACAGCCACCTTTGTGGACTGCACAGATTTGGTTGTTTTCCAATTAAGAGGCCAACACCAGCATATGGGAAAAATGTTGCTTTGTTCTCAGTCAATGTAAAATAGCATTTCTCAGTTGTTTCAGGTACATGAAAACCAAAATGTATCTTTTGAGGACCCTGGCCTAGCTTTTGTTATACTCATCCTTCATGCAGGAGACAAACCTCTAGGGTGCTTCACAACTAGAATTTCTGTTATTTTTTTTCATTTTCAGAGAGTAATTTTTTTTAATATCATTCATTTAAAAAATGAAACAACTCCCATGAATGTGCAACAAAACACTGTTTCAACTGGAAAAAGAAATTGAGATGCTTCTTAGTTTCTGAAATGAAACATAATTTTTCCAGGATATGTGAATATTTTGTGTCTTCCATTTTGTGTTGGCAACAAACTTGGCAGATCTTTGAACAGAGCTGGTGAAACCTCGTATTCCCTTCCAGCAAAAGAAAGGTGTTGATAGCAAACTTCACTCAGCTCCATGGCTGAATTTTGTTTGGTGTGGGATTTTAGTGATATGTGCATCAGATGTTGCTTGGCTTTTACAGCCCATCAAAGCTCACGTCCAAAACAAGAATTTTAAAAAAACCACTCTGTGGGAAACTCACTGACAGTGAAGAGGAGATCACAGACCACAGAAGAGCTGAGCACCTCTCTGAGAACTGGGCCTGTGCTGTCAACATGTTTTTCCAACATGCTCATCTTGTCTGAGAACATTTTCTCAACAACAGCAGAAAGCACTTTCCCGACAGTTGACCTGTCTGTCTTGAGGACTTTGGAAACCATTGTTCCTAACATGGGTTCCTGTAAGGACAAGAAATGTCTCCTCTTAGTTGTAAATAAGCTTTGCAAAACCTGTACCTTTACAGAAAATTCCTCTTCCACTCCATTAACCCACCACAGGCCAAATAAGCATAGCTAGCAAAGTGGGTCCGCTCGGTGTGGCAGGAGGTAGAAACTCCCAGCTGTGCAAGAAGGGATGGTGGCATTTAGACAGGAACTCTGTACCTCGCTTTTCTCAAAGTGTTTAATCCTTTGAATCACACAATCTGTAAAGCAGCTCTCTAGATTTGTATTCCAACGCTTGTCCTCCTTCATGAATTCCAAGTAGAAGTCCAGAAGTTTTCTGCCATCTACCTGCAGGAAGGAAATGCTTAAGCTGCAGTTGCTTTCTGGGGCCTTGTCAAATATCATTGGGTTCTCACGGTGGGGAGAGATGCCCTCTATGCCCCTCTACACCAGCAATGAGCGGGCTGCTTCATCTCCCATCATCTAGACACTGACTGGGACAAAACAGAGGATCCTGGGGTCAGGAGAAGTCTGAGCATCACCCCCTTCCTTGGAGTTAAGTAACCGTAACTTACTTTCTCCAGCCACCTTTCAACTATGCTGTGTATCAGGCTTTGCCATTTCTGGGTCCATTCCACACAGAGGATCTCAAACAAGAATAGCTCGTGCCACACCTGTGGCAGAAAAGCAAAGCTGGTCAACTGGACCTCAAGGTACAGACACACTTTCCAGAGTGGGTGGTCATCCCTTGTGTGGGTTCTTGCTACTCACATGGATGTTTTCCAGGAACTGTCTGTTTTCCATGGGTGGCCTAGGCAAGGATTTTTCCAGCCACTTCTTGATGTAACCTGCAAACTCATTGAACCTTTTTGAGATAAACTGCTGATATTCCTTGGGAAATAAAAAAAAAGAGAGAATTGGCAAGGAGAGACAGATTTTCCCTCTGGCTTTTGATGCTTAACTGCTGTGTACAGAGTGAAAATTAAGTCCTTCTCACAACTATCAAGGGCCTCCAAGAAGAGAAATGGCTGGCACACTCTGAGATGCTACCGGCTTTGTTTGCACCTCTCTGTCCATGCAAACCCTTCTCATCTGCCCCAGCACAAATTCTGACAAGGTTAGAATATGTAACTGAGAAAGGTAGCCACATGCTCTGCTGTCACTCCTGTAGTTGGCCACATTTGAATGAAGCAAGCCTGAACTCCTGGCCCTTCTCAGCTAAAAGACATGGGTGTATGTCTTCCTGAAAGCTATGGGTGTTGTTTTTACCTGATTTGCTTGCAACTCATGTGATTTTGCAGCAAACATGTCAAGTATCCGTAGCAGTGACATTATCAAGCTAAGTGGCACTGCATGCCAATGATTTAAGGAAAATGAAAGCAAAGCATATGTTGAATTCAGACATGGCAAGACATCCTCCTTATTCGTGGGCTTCGTCAGCTGCTCTGTTTCCCCTGGCAGGCACCTGTGGACATAGAAAAGCACTATACACCTCTTCTGCTAATTCTAACAATAGCATTTAAAAAACAGTCAACACAACCTTGAGCTTGTCCTTCATTTGCTGGACAATGCTGTGCAGTCTCAGATGACCAGAGCCACTTATGTGTCTGAATTTGGAGCTGAATCCGACAACATGAGATGGAGGCAGACTGTCTGACAGGACAGATGCCCCTGTGGACCTCCTTCCCACATGGTACTCCTCAGCCCCAGAGTGGTTTAAAAGATTATGACATACAACTAACAATGAAAATTACTACAACCTCCCTTGTTCTGCTCAACCACAAGTCTAGCTATTCCTTCCCACGTCCTCCACAGAGCTGTCCTAGTATTTCTCCTCTCAGAAGGTTAGCACTTACAAGTCCTTGAACCAGAATGCCATCCTTTCAGCAATGTTGTTCAAAACTCCAGTCAAATCCTCTTCCTGAATAGAGAGTAAAAAACAACTGTGAAAACACATCCATTCTGAGAGCTGAGGCAGTCTCCTATGAAAACTGGTAAGTGTAAAACCTTCAGAGAATTTTTTTCTGCCAATGTTTGATTAAAAAACAAAAAAACCCGGCTCTTCCAGATGGACAGGCAGACCTAGCTCCTATTAAAACAATCACTTCAAATCCCACAGAAGCCAGCTGTCTCCAAGAAGTTTAGAGTTCAGAGGATGGTGTGGGAGGGCTTTGCTCAGCTTTTTTCAAGTACAAATCAGAGTTTGTTGGGGGCAAACCCTATAATAAGCACCAAGAAGTAGATCTTAAGTGGAATTCCTCTCCAGGGCCTCAGAGGATATTACAACAGTCTAGTTAAAGCATAAGTGAGAATGACAGAAAGTAGGTTCCCACAAACAAGTCCAATTTTGATTTAAAAATAATCTCTCCCCCAAAAATGCAAGTTAGAACTTTAACTTCCTTCTTTCATCCTTTCCAGCTTTAAACAAAGTTCCAATTGCTTGATCCCCACGATGTTCATTTTGGGTACTGCTTTTGGGGACAGGATATAAAAATTGCTTAAAGATTCTGATTAAACTTCACTCAATACAGCATTTGCTAGTCATTTTCCAAGAAGGCCAAAGCCCCAATAAGATCCCCTTGCCCTTTCTCTTTTGCCACTTCTCTCAAAACATGGGTATTGAGCTCTCACTCCAGGTTCCTATGACTCCACCCCTTTGGATTTGTTGAAAATTTCTTCAGGAGCCAGGGAGACTTTCTGGCTCACCTGTACAAAATTGCACAACTTTCCATAACATAAGAAAGAAACACTAACAAGAAGTTGATCTATTACTGTGTGTATGGTCTGATTGCCTTACGTGCACTTGGGATGGTTTACAGACGACGTTAACGATGCGTTGGTACACAGTATCCAGGAGGAGCTGAGGTGGAAGCTTGATTTGGAGTAGGGAGGCCTTGGTGAAATTCTTCAGTGCCAACATCTCCAAGACTGTCATTGCCAGTGGAGAGCAGCTTTCAATGAATGACTTGTGAATCTTTATCATTGCAAGGACTTTCCTGTGAAAATGAACCGTCAACAACAGATGCACTTTGGAGCATCAGGAGGAACTTTGTGCCATCATATATGCTCCTGTGGCTGGCAAACGTGGCACTGGACTTAAAGAAGAGGTGGCTGGACACTGAATGGGATATCTGGGATTTTATAGCAAGTGAATTTACACAGTAACACTTCTTTTTGAGGCTTTTAAAGAAGAAATGCTGTGTTTGAGACTTTCAGTCCTGGAACACTCTTGTGTGAGTGCACATACGTGCCTTTGCTCCCTGTCCAGTTTGCCTGCAGATAGGATATTTTGGAATGAGTCCACCTTTCTCCCTGTGAAAGAACGCCCAAATGAGGACCTAGGGGTACTTCTCTCCCTAAGGCCACTCCCAACAGGCTGTCTGAATGAGACTGCACAGTCCTCAGCTCAGTCTTCCCCTTCCTCCAATTCGCCTTCAAACACCCTCCTCTTCTCCTAGTTAAGAGGCCAGAGCAGAAGTAGGGTGTATGAGAAAGGCAATGACTTGCATCCCAGGGAAGAAACACGGAGTTTCTGGTGGTTGAAAGTCCACAAGCAAAAGCAATGAAAAATTACTCTAACATAGAATCATAGAATCATAGAATACCAGGTTGGAAGGGACCTAAAGGATCATCTGGTCCAACCTTTCTAGCACAATCTAGACAAGATGCCCCAGCACCATGTCCAGCTGAGTCTGAAACGTGTCCAGTGTAGCAGAGTCAACCACTTCCCTGGGGAGATTATTCCAATGATTGACTGTTCTCATTGTGAAAAATTTACCTCTCGTGTCCGATTGGAATCTCCCTGGGAGTAACTTGTACCCATTACCCCTTGTCCTCACCATGTGACTCCTTGTAAAAAGGCAGTCTCCATCTTCTTTGTAGCTCCCCTTTAAGTACTGGTACATGGTGATGAGATCACCTCTAAGCCTCCTTTTCTCAAGGCTGAGCAAACCCAGCTCTTTTGTATAACAGGGACCAGAACTGTACACAGTATTCCAGGTGTGGCCTGACAAGCGCTGAGTAGAGTGGGATAATGACCTCTTTATCTCTGCTGGTGATGCCCTTTTTGATGCAACCCAGCATCCTATTGGCCTCCTTGGCCGCAGCAGCACACTGTTCACTCATATTGAGCTTCCTGTCCACCAGGACCCCCAGGTCTCTTTCCACAGAGCTGCTCTCTAGCTAGGTGGATCCTGTTGTAACAGTACTACAACTTATTTCCCTGACCCAGCCTTGATACTCTCTCCCTTTCAAACTTACCTCTGCTTCTCTTCATCATTTCTCAGCTCCAATAAATGTTGTAAGGGAATGGTTTGTCGAAAAAAGCGGTCCTCCATCTTCTCTGTGATTGCATACAGCAATGGAATCAGCCAAATCCACAAGGTGTTGCCTTTATTACTTAAGCAAATTTCTTTCACAGATGAAATGTAATTGCTGAAAAGAAAGAGAACCACCAAAAATCTCCATCAGTGGTCAGAGCTCCCACAACCACCTCCTAGGATGGCAGTGGGAGCTGTGTGCTTTCCCCTCAACCCAATGGCATTCATCTTGCCAACATGTAGATTCACGAAGGTGTGTGAGAGAGAGCGAGAGCTTCGTTCTAGAGACCTTATCAGCAGACATTCATGTACAACAAATGAATTCCACCCCAGCTTTCCCAAAACAGTCTCCCTCTGTAAGTTTTATGTCACAAAGGAAAATAAAAAGAAAAATAACTCAAATGCTATAGGTTATATCAAAAGAGCATGACAGAATACCGTAATCTGACTTTGTGGTGTAATATATCCATTTTTGTAGGGCTCAATTCAGCTGTCTACGCAAAGTGTCTAATTCTATTTGAGATGTCTGGGACATCCAAGACAGACCTGCAGGGTTTTCAGATATAAACCAGAACTTCTGGGAGACAGTAATCCTGTCAAATTGTCATTAGGAGGCTTGGTGATATAACACATGGCATCTAAAATGACACTGATGCCCAGCTGAGTCTTGGATCTCCAAAGATTATAACAGAAGCCCAGACACCTATAGATGTGCACAAATGTAAGGGCCTGAATCTCAAACCAATCCCTGCCAAAAATAGGGCCTATGGCTCTCCTTCCATCAGGGACCTGGCAGAGTGGACAGGCTGCACAGGTTATGGCAGCCAGTGGCGGAAATACAGCTAGGAAGCATTGAAGCGAAGGGGAAAGTGTGTTGGGGGAACACATTCTACCTCTGTATTCACATAATTGCTCCATAGAGAAAATGGCTGAATGAACTGAATGACTACAGAAGGATCTGTAACTCAAGAAAGTAGGATGACACTTTTAATTACCTCTTTCCTCTCAGATGCTTGAATTTGCCTTGAAATGGGCCGATGTCCTGGATGAGTTTTTCAGCCTTTTCAATTACCTGTTTGCTTAGTGAGATGTTATAACAATGTGAGGTGTGTAAAGCAAAAAGCAGCCCATCATCTTTATGCTCCTCTGTCTCCAGGTGTCCAATGATCTTGTCCATGAACTTTATCATGTTATCACGCAACTGGACAATGAGAATAAGGAAGGGGAATTTCACCAAGATAGATAAGACAATTTTACTTGAGTAGCTGGAAAATAAAGTTATTTTTCAGTGTGCCAATTTTATTTTAGGTGTCCGCAGCCTTAAACTGCATCCTACCTGTGGTTCATATCCCTGAGAAATAAGTCAAATGGGAATCTAAGTTTAGACTTTAACATGAGGCATTGAAGCCAGAACATAACTGCATGCAAAATTCTTTTTTTCCATGCAGGATTCTCAAAACCAGGGTAGTCTTTCCATGACCCAGCCTCAAAGCTAGTTCTACAAATGACACCATCTGGGTCTGATTCCAATAGAAAATCTCTTTTGACCTCATCAGGCTTTGGGTCCAACTCAGAAACTGGAAAAAGCAATGAAAATAAGGTCCAGCCTTTTCATGTTCTCTGGCTGTGGTTCAGAACCCTCTGTGGAATTAGAGGTAGCTGCAGAAATTTCTCTTCAGGGGTCTGTCTACCTGGAAACTGCTTACTACTTTGGCTTGGTATATACTTACCACTTGCTCAGTAAGATTAGTTGGAGAGTAGAGTTCGCCTTTTGCAGCATCGCCGAGATAGATTTTGAAGGTCTCTGTGTAGATCTTCAATTTCTTTTCTATATTCTTAAAGCCCTGCTGGAGCTTGACGGGCCGGCAAAATTCATCTGCAAGGTGTTCTATGATACCACAGTTGACTGACTTTTGGGGCATTGTTGTTGAAGACCAGAATTTGAAGGAAGGCAAGTATTTTTTTTTTTTTCCAGGAAAATAGCACTTCATATTTTCAAAAATGGTCCATGTTTCTGGGGAGGAATTGAGGTTTGTGAATGAACCTTCAAACCTATAAAGGATGAGTCTTAAACTGGCCCAGAGCTAATGATACCAATTGCTTTATATGAATGCCAAGCCCATCTGAGCTATAACTAAGCCACTAATGCACAAAACTCACCATGCATATTTAAATTCAGCCCTAGATATCTCACCCGCACTTTAGATGGGCCTGGTGTCCATAGCCCATGGCTGATTCAATTACCCCAACAATAGGTGTCTACTACTTTTTTGAGTCATCCTGGCATATTCAAAACATCTATACAGGGCAGCAGATCTGACACTGGACCTCCAGCTCGCTTGCACCCTTCTGGAATGGCAACTGAAAGCCTGATGGTAGATGCAAAGGTGATTCAAGGCTTCATTACACACTCTTCCTTGCCCAAAAATGAAAGGTCTGAGTTTATTCTGGGAAAAAGCAAAATAACTTCAACACTTCTTCCAGAATAGTTTGTGTTATATAAAGAATCTGTTTGTGTTAAATAAATAGCCCATAAGCCTATGTGTCAAAAATCCCCACAATAACAATGCTTCTGTTGTAGGAAGCAAGTGCTGCCCCACTGTGAAGCAAAACAAGAGAGAGCTTATATTCTTCTGTTGCTTGCAAGGGTTTGTTGGTCATACTTCACCCCAGTCCTACCTTTGAAGAAAGTACACCACTTACCATCTGCTTTGATCTCTTCCTTGGGAATGTTTATGACTCGATGTAATTGACTCTCTATATTCTTGGAGTCCATTCCATAAATATGCTCTAAATCATATAATCTCGTTTCAGAGTCGGTTGAGAGGACATTAAGGATAGCATATTTATAAAAAATTGGTCCTCTCTGCAGGTCAGAAATGGGGATCATTGCATGGCCCACGATCAGCTTTTTTCTGGAACAGAATAAAGAATAATATTAATTAGTTACTATACCATAAGGAACTCCCATCAGATTCAACTCCAGATGGACTTTGGCTATACAGATCAGTTCATGCAGCAAGAATGAGCAACCAACATTCACATTCAAAATCCAAAGTTTGACAAAATGCCTCTGGCCTTTATAATGGCAGACAAAAACTTGATAATCTGACCTGAGCTTGAAGGTTTATCAGACAGGAGAGAAATAAAAATAACTGTAAGAAGTCTTGATGTGAACAACCCTGGTCCTAGCCAAAGTTGCAGCTGCCTTGTAAAAATAACAGGAAATACATCTAGAGATATTCCTATGCTGAGTGCTGCAACTGTACCAGAACTGAGGTGACTCAATTCACTCCATCTTCTCTCATGCAAGGCACATGGTGACATTTGAGAAGCTCCGTAATGTTTTAGACCTCCATGCAGATCTGGCAGATCTGACACAGGACCTACAGAAATTAGACTTAACACTGTAACTCACTTCTAAAGACATCTAAATTTAGGTGTCTTTGTCTGGAGCTGAAGCCCAGGCTGGCACCCTAAAGTTGGGGTGACCTATATGCTTTCTGAAAATGTGACATCAACATACATTTAGGTATCACTTTTACCTTTTTTTCAGAACAGCAAATTCCTGGTATTGTCCAGGTTGCTTGTAAAAAGCAACACAGATCTTGGATGACTCTTCAGAAAACCTGGATTTTTTTGACATTACAGCAACAAACTCTAGGGTCATTGTTTCTTCTGTTCGAAGTCTTTCATTGGACAGGTATGGATTCTCCAGGTAGCTATTGGAAGGGAAAGAAATACTCTAAGGTCGACATCAAGCCCCCTTCCACCACTCTGTTGCCATCTTCACCTGATCCACATCAGGACTTCAGGGCACCGTTCAGACACTTACATGCATTTCTCCCAGCCTCCGGCTACAGGAGCTTGAAGAGTATCTTCTGAATCATTTCTTCCAGTCCTGTACAAATAACCTGATTACCATAAAGCATTTACAGTGGTCCCAGCTGCCTGCATGCAAGTATCAAGCCACTGTGTGAATAACTCAGATATAGACAACATGCTGTAGACCAATGCACATTGCAAAGAGAGCAACTCCTGCCCTGGAAGGCCTCTACCTGTCTCCATCTCCATCTGCTGGTGGGGGAAGAAGTTTAAGGGTAAAGTAGCCTGATGGTACTAAAGCTACAGATCCTCGCAAAGACAGCTTTTTCCCAGCAAGCTCCCAGATCTCAGTCTCCTTGAGGTCTGATGGGAAATCCCACAGCACAGATTTCCACATCAACAAACCTGCTATTGGGTCCTAGGTTTTCTTTGCTTTCACGGTCACCTGCAAGTGAGGAGAATGTTTGGGTTAACATCAGCAGAAGATACACCAAGCCAAGAAAAACTAGAAGACAGTTGCATGCTGGGAATGGGAGAGAAGTTCTTGAATTTAAAATCCTCACAGCTTGGGTATGGTCCTCTAGGTCTTTGAACCAATAATCCCAGCCCACTTGTTGGGTGACCTTTTACCTGTCTTGTCAAGATCCACCAATGTTTGGTACAGCTTCCCTGGGGACAGGGACATGAAGGAATCTGTGCTGCTGGGGGCAAGGGTGGGGGCAGTGAATGGGCCTAAGGACAATAGTTAGCACACCCCACATTGGTGGAGTTATGGGTGGGGGCAATGGGTGGAAGGACAGAATGTACAATTACATGAGCAATCAGTTTTGAGACCTCTCTTACCAATGGTCTTTCTCCTCCATGGGCAGTTCATGGTAACAAGCCAAGTACCTCTAGACATTCAAACAATTTACATGTGGCATCGCCAGGAGCCTCCGACTCCCAGCCAGACTCTGCACACTCAGGCCTGCTCTTCACAATAGCCAGCATCAGATTTGCATCAGAGCAGAGATGGGAATGCTAAAATACACTCGTTAGTTACCTCTTCTGTTACAGTTGCTTTGCTCCACTGGTTCCTCTCTCCTCTGGTGACTCAGGATGTTTTTCTTGGAAAATAAAATTTTAAAGTTAAAGAAAAAGAGACCCCCAGCAATGATTCAAACCCCAAAGCCCAAACAACACCAGAGGCACAGGGCCAGGGAGGGTGGAGAGCTGAAGAAGCCATTCAGCCTTTCTTCCAATATTTCTATTCATGGCTTCTGCTTTGCACACAGCAAATTATGAGTGCAAAGAGCAGAGCTGCATCTCAGCATAACTGCAAGTGACCTCAGAGTGCCACCTTGCAAACTCCATGCTAGTGACCTCCCATACCCAAAAGACCAATGCTATCCTGCATGTTATAGGGGTGGAAAATACAGCCCTCTTCCATTGTCCTCAGGGCCCCCCGAGGAGTTCAGCCATGGCTGAGTTTGCTCTTTGACAGTTACAGTGTGATTCCCACTCAGAAGGCGTTCTGGCTTCCTTGAACGCTGGGAGTCCTGGGTTTCTGATAGCCCCACTTGATTGGAAGCAGCACTCAAATAACGGTCCCTCTCCACTGACACAGCAGACTGCTGTTGGTATGCTGGGACTTGTTGGGCGTGGGTCTCCTCCTTGGGGTGGGGCTGCTGGGCCATAGAAAGGAGAAGAATATGTGTACTAATGGCCATAATTAGAGTTTCGCTCCTGTGTGCTGCATCAGTCCAGGTCTCCATCAGTGCCAAAGGGCTTTTGGAGGAACTCCAAGATTTGAGACCATGTGAAAACAAAGCATGGCTGTGGCCAGGACAGGAAATAACTCCTACAGGAGCAGGCAAGAAAAAGACATAAACAATGTACGGCCTAATATCGTTTCTCTCAAAGCAGGAACACTGGCAGCACAGAAATCCTGGGCTCTTAGAATATTTTAGCCCAATCCAGTAATGCCCAAATGTTCACAAGAGGTTCTGAAATTTGAAGGCTTACTTGCACTCAGAGTTTTTACCCTGCTCGTAGACTGTAATACATCAATACAGTCTGTTAGACCAGAACTTTTATAGTTTGACAGTGGGGTTGATCAGCAGCAGAAGGAAGACAAATTCAGTGGGAAATCTTGAATTTTCAAGTAAAGATTTTACTTTTTATGTGAACAAAATCAAATGGTCTTTTGGCAGTAATTGGCTTTCTCCAAACTGTTTTCTCACAATGGATTTTTTCCATGGGAACGAAACAGGTCAGACCTCAAATTTTACATTTTTATTTGTTTTATGTGGATGAAGAAAAAGAAGCAAGACACCTGATTTTATTTGCTGTGCTGATGGTGATGAAGAAGGCGAAGTCAAAGAAAAAGTTTCCAGAACTATTCTGAAGACATAAACCAACTGGACATTCAGTGGACATGGTCACATGGAAATCTCTTCAGAGTACAAGCTGCTCTGTGGTATTGTCAGAGCCACCCTTTTATTTCTGCCTCTTACAGCCCAAAAACATTCCCAGAGCCCAGCGCTGGGGCACAGCATCCCTTTGGGATCACCAGCTTGGAAAAGCAAGCAAGAACCATACTCAGGCTTCTTAATGGGGCCTTTTGAGTGAGACAGGAAGAGGCAAATCTCTTCTTTAGCATTAAATATCTAAGTTTAAGGGTTTCAATCACGAATAATAGCGAAGTGCCCTAGGTATAGCCTTATTTTCTCTCTGTGTGACTTCTGTCACAAGTTCTTTGGCTTAAGTATGTTCCTTTGACATCAGTGATAATAAATTAAAAACTCTCACCTCATTAGCTCTGGCAGAGGTGTCATCTCTGGACTTGGGGGATGATTCCTGCCCAGCACAGTGATCTCCCAAGAGTTCTGCACTTGTCGTGTGTGCCTGGAGTTTCTCTTCCTCTGCAGTATTTGGAGCTGAGCACAAAGTGAGATCAAGGTTTCCACCTGATCCCATCACTGTGCCTGCCCTCCCATCTGTGATCCAAAGCCACCAGCTGGCCAGCAGAGAGGCACGCGGGAAGCCTTGGGGCCCATGACACTGATTGCAGGGAGCTGCAGACTAACTTGTCAGAGAACTGGGTAGGGCAAAGATCATCCAGGAGGGGTCTGAACCAGGCCACTTTTTAGGGCTGCTCCCTCAAAACGACAAATCCCAGGGCTGGCCCCATCTTTTGTCTCACAGGCTCACTTCGTGGGAGCTAGGAAGTGAATTAATGATGCTGCAACACAGGGAGTGAGGGAAGCAGCAGCAAGGTAATATCCAGGAAAGAGTAGAAATGCCTGTCTACTCCTCAAAATTGAATACTGACCTTTTTGCCTGGGTTTTCCTAACCATGATGAAGCAGACTTCATCAAGATATTCCTCACTCACACTGTACCTGAATTGGTGGGCAGAATGTCCCAGAAGCTGCTGTCATATGTAGTTGAGGGGTCACTTGTCACCCGTCCCAGGGATGAACTGGTATCACAGCTTCCCTTTAGGAATATTTCAGAAATCAGGATACACTCTTCAGAGAAGATAATGGGGGAGCAGGTTTCACAGGGAAGGACTATGAATTCCAGTGCTGGGGATCTAATGAATGTGGTTGTATAATTCCCAACTACTTTCCCCTGCCATAAGCCCCTTTCTAGCCAGCTGTGGTTAAGATACCCTGCAACCATCCACTCATTTTGCCAGCTTTTTTGTGGGACATGAAATAGGGTGAAGCTCAGGTCTTACAGGATGGGCCCCTGGATTCCCCTGCAGCTCCAAATCCTGGCTAAGTGATGCTCAGAAATCATGTAACTTGACCACCCTGGACCTAGAGAAACAGGGTTCCCACCCCAATGTTTGGTCCTAGAGCTTATACCTGGGATGCAAGCACAGTATCTGTCGGATGGTCTGTGCAGAGAGGTTGCTGCTCGTTGTTTTTCGGTGCTGCAGATTTCATTCCTGGTGCAAGAAAATGCATGTATTGAGTACAGTGTCTGTCTTTACCATATCTGCTACAATGATGCTAAGCCCTCTCACTTTGCTCCTAATAATGAAGGAGCACCATTTGCTTTTAAAATGCTCCCTTTTTCCAATTAAAATCTGCTGAAAGGTCTGAGCTGGGCCAGCAGTCAGTCACAGAGCCCAGATTTCCACCCTAGTGGGTGGACTCATCTGAGCTAGATAAAAGCTGGCATATCTAATCTGAGCCAGTTATTTAGATTTAGTAGAGACAAGTTAACAATAGTGCAGGGAAAGAAAATGTCATTGAAAAGGATAAAAGAGAAGCACATGGAAAAGAAGCCAAGAAGGACTGATCTGGGGCAGGGCTTGCACCAAGTTTTATGAAGTCAGGAAGCTCTGATTCCTGCATATGATCCCTGCTGCTGAAATTCTGCCACATTCTGCACTTTCCAAGGAAAACCACCCAGGAACAAACTTACCTGTGTCAAAATCGTGTGGTAAGAGCAGATCGTGCCTGTGACATGAAGGCCGGCCAGCTGGCCAGCCAGCCATCCAGCCTGCTGACAGTGCCGTAAAAATGTGCACATCAGCACTGCTCCTCCCCATTTTTTGGGACTAGCATACAAATGGAAAGGCAGGGTGTGTGTCCCCACTGCGGACAAAGTTTATTACAGGGCCTTTAGCGCAAGTTGTGGTATCTTCTGCTTCTAGTTCTGCAGACTCCCTGATTAAATCCCTGGTGTAGGAGGCAAGAGACTGGCTGTCACACAAATGTGATGTGCTGCTCCTTGCAGACAGCTTTTCTTTGGGCCTAGGGAGACTGGACAGAGCTCGCCATCTTTTTCTTTTTTCTTTTTTTTTTTTTTTTAACAAGTGAAGCAGCCTTTCTTTTCTGGTAGCACTGATGGGAGGTCACCTTTATATACATTTATATACATTTCCTTATAAATAACAATCAGATATTTTAAACACAGGACAAAGCACCCTCAATTACAGGAGCTGAAAGTCTTCAATAGGCAAGTACCCTTTTTTAGTTAGTTTCACTATTTACTATCCCTTGCTGTATAAAGGAGAAAGTTGCTAGATTAGAGACATGAGGAATGGGTTGGTGGCTGTTTACATTGCCTGCACCCACAACATTTCCTATTACCTCTTTTCTCATGTAGCAGGTTGCTGCTGCCTTCCTGGACAGATGGAGGCACAGGATGCGGTTTCTCTCTGCTTTCACCCTCTGTGTTGCTCTCTGCACTCTCCATTGTGGTAGCTCAAACCTGGGCAGCCAAGGAGAAAACTTCCGCGAGGAGACTTGCAGCTTCAAAGCTAAAGATCTAAAGGAAAGGTTAAAAGATCACAAAGATCAACCTGAGAAGCCCAGGTCTGGTCTTTTTACCTCCCCCCTGCAATGAGGAAAAGAATCTCATTTAGTCATTACAACCCCACTGGTTTCAAACCCCTCTTCAAGCCATGTAAGGGTTTGCCAACACCTCTGAGAATACTTAGGAGCATGGAAAAAATCAGGTGTTTTTTACATCCTCTCCTGGAAATGCGACCTCAAGGGAACATTTTGAAGTACTTCTATGGACTGGGACTTTCCAGATGAATGGAGTTTAACTCAGTCCAGCTCTGCTTTGTGAAAGTGAAAGAAAAAGAGCTAAGATTCTGTCCTTGAATCTCTCTCTGTGCATTGTTTAACCCTTTTTCTGGTGTCCTCCCTTCCTCCTTCCTGATACCGCTCTCAGCCATATTGTACATTGCTCGTCTCTCTCTCTCCGCAGCTTGGTCTCTAAAAGCTTAAAAACTGCGCAATTCCTTTCCCATTGCAGTTATGTTTTTTCTCTGAAACAGTGAAACTAGAAGACAATTCAAAAGGCAATTATTTTTTCCCCTTTCCTGCCAATATTTTTCCTGCGATGCAGGAAGGGGTGAGAGCAGCACATTTTGAACAGCCCTGTAAACTCTCCTGCCTCCGCTTCAGGTGCACGGGGACAATGGGCACCCTGTTCGGACCTGGTCATGACCTGGGGTGGGGGAAATGGAGGCAGGGACGGTCTTCCCTTGCCCTCACCCAGACGTGGAGGCTCCCTCAACCCCGCTGGATGCCTAGGCGAGACACAGGGATGTCTGGGAGAGACGTGGGGCTCCCTGGAGATCCTGCGAGGGGGAAGCACCCACAGAAACATCCCCCCAAAGCCTCCCGCTTCCCTTGGCTTTGAAGTCTGCAAAGGCCCGAGCAAAACCCGCAGGCAGGACCCTGCCCCAGCCCCTACCTTGTCCTGTGGACGCCTCGGGTGCATCTCTCCACCAGACTGGGCTGTCACTGCCTCTTATACCCGCCCAGATCTGCTGGCTGCCTTTTCTCAGAAATCAGTGGAAAGTGAAAGAAATTATCAAAAGGCAGCAGAGCGCTGCTTGTTTCCCATCACAGGGCGGAAGAGGAAATTTCTTAGCAATAAAAAAAGCCAGGGCTCAGAGGGGTGTGGGGGCCCCCCACGGGGTGTGTGGCTGCCCTGCCATGCTGTGGGGCAGCCCGGGGCTTCCCTGGCACAGATGTCATGTGGGGGTGCCTCAGCCCAGTGGGTCTCCCCCTGCCCCAGGGATCTTGGGGTGCATCAGCTCTACAGATCCCACCCCCCTTCCACAGTCCCTTGGGTTTCCCAGTGATCCCACTGGTGTCTCTGCCCCACAGATCCTCCCCATGGCCCCGAGGATCCTTACCCTACAGCTATTCTCCCACCACACATGCATATCCCTCTGTGCCCCAGGGATCCTTGTGGTGTCTCAGCCCTTGTGTCTCCAGGGTCCTGGGGGCTTTCTCCCCTTCACCTCCCTCCAGCTCTGGCTGTTCCGAGGATCATAAGGTCCCTCCCACTTGTCCCATGTGGTCCTTCTACACAAGTCCCCAGATATCCTTGATGTGTCTTAGTCCCATAGATCGCCTCATGGCCCAGGGTCCCTCAGCCTCTCCCTGGACCAATGGATGCTCTAGATCCCAGCCATCTGTCCTTGCACATGGGGCAGAAAGCCAGAGCTCACTGCCCCACTGCCCAGCACAGTGGAGCAGTGCCAGCTGAAGAACATGCCCAAGGCCAGCAGCAAGGCTGCCATCAGGAGGGCAGCAGGCCCTGGGTCTGCTCAGGGGCGATCCTCAGGCTGCTGAGGGGAGGCCTGATCTGCAATCTCCCCTGCACATCCCTCGAGGTCCTGACTGACAACCCTGGACAGGCTCAGCGGGTGACTGTCGTGGTTTAACCCCAGCCAGCAACTAAGCACCATGCAGCCGCTCGCTCACTCCCCACCGGTGGAATGGGGGAGAGAATCAGAAGGGCAAAAGGGAGAAAACTCGTGGGTTGAGATAAGAACAGTTTAATAATTAAAGTAAAATAAACTAGAACAGTTAAATAGGCAAAGCAAAAACCATGCACACAAGCAAAGCAAAGCAAAGCAAGGAATTCGTTCACTACTTCCCATCGGCAGGCAGGTGTTCAGCCATCCCCAGGAAAGCAGGGCTCATCACGCATAACGGTTACTTGGGAAGACAAACGCCATCACGCCGAATGTCCCCCCCCTTCCTCCTTCTTCCTCCGGCTTATATACTGAGCATGACGTCATATGGTATGGAATAGCCCTTTGGCCAGCCTGAGTCAGCACCCCTCTGGCTGTGCCCCCTCCCAGCTTCTTGTGCACCCGGCAGAGCAGGGGAAGCTGAAAAGTCCTTGACCAGTGTGAGCGCCACTTAGCACCTATTTAGCAACAGCTTAGCACTACTTAGTAAGAGCCAGAGCATCAGTGTATCAATCATCGACATTGTTCTCATCCTAAACCCAAAACACAGCCCCATACCGGCTACCAAGAAGAAAATTAACTCTATCCCAGCTGAAACCAGGACAGTGACCCAGCTGGTCCTCACCCACAGTGGATGACACGGTGCCTGGGATGCTCCACAGGGGACCCAGGTGCCTATTGAAATTAGACCTTTATAGTATTGTGTTTGGTCATATGAAACTACAACTCTGTGAATTCGGAAAATTCAACTTTGCCTCCTGCTAAAAAGACAGAAGATACAATGTTTGTCCAGACCTTGCCTTGCCACCCACAGTCCATGCCCTAGTCATTGCAGTACAAGGTTTACTTCATTCCCTCTTCCATGACTCAGAAAGAAATAAGAGAAACTATGTCAATACCTGAGAGAGAATAGCAGGTGAATTAAATATGAGGCATTTGTAAATTCAGGGAGTGTAACAGTAGCTGGACCTTGTCTGTCCAGGAGAAGCACCCTACCCATAGAAAGCATGTTCGGAGCAGGAGGAAGAGCAATGGGATGAAAGCTCAGCATAGCAATAAGACTGCTGTCTCAGATGACTAGGGACAGACGGACATATCAATGAACCAAGGAGAGATGTGTTAACAGGGCCAAGGGGACTGCAACCCATGGGCAAGCATTGATCGTCCAACACTTGCTCCCCTTGCACGATAACAGAGATGTTGAGCTGTCAAACAGTTGCTGGCCAGCGTCTTCCCCATTGCACCCTTATCCAGCCCCGCTGAATAGGCAAACTGCCACGGCCCTGAGCTTGGCTCATGCTTCGCCCCAGAGTGCCAACAGCTCGGACGGGACGGTTGGTCTCCATGCTGTGCTCCTCAGGTTTCGCCTCCAGCCTGGGGGGGTCCTCTGCACTTCTGAGCTTCGTATCCTGGCGTGGGGTGGCCGGTGTCCAGCCCCAGGCCCACAGGTGGTGAAATGCACGCACTGAGCTGGCTGCCAAGACCCGCTCCTGGTCCCAGGACTCACAGGTGCCCTCTGGCAGAACAATCACCGCTTCTGATACCTTCTGCCAGAATGGGATCTGCTGTACCTGCCAGCCGAACTCCGAAAAAAGGCATTTCTAGGCTCTTTAGGAAAAGCACACAGGAGCTGCCAGTCTGTTGCTGAAAACAGCTTATAAGAAACAGAGTTGGAATACTGCCAGTATTGATTTTTTTTCCATATTTGCTACTTTATACAGCTGCAAGGGTGAGAAAGGAAGAGCACTGAGCTTGAAGAAAAAACAGAGCATTATAATGTTATTTTTGAACATATGTCTGTGTTACTCTATTGAAGCTCTTGCTTGGTTTACATTTTTCTGAAGCTTGTATTTTAAGTCTCCTTTTTTTCCTTCTTTTTTTTTTTTTTTTCTTTTTTCCCCAAAGGAGCCAACCAACCAGCTCATCAAAAGAAGACACTGGAAAAGTAAAATTCCCCTATAGAGTTTTCAGTGTTCAAAGCCCTAAATCCTGCCGAGAACCACAGAAATCAGCATTACAATACATCATTTTAAACAAGCTCCTTGTACCAAGGGATTCTACAAACAGAGCAGCAGATACTACAGGATCTATTTTGCCCGTTTCCTTATCAAAAAGCAAAGATAAAGACTGGTTCTGTAACATAAACTACACTGTCTAGGAGAGTATTGTCTCTGTTATCTTTAAATTGACATATGCCTTATCACATTAACGTTATTTCATCACTGTACCAAATTTTAAGAATAGGGAAATATTCCAAGTTATCGTGTTAAAATCCATATCACTATTCCAAGTAGCATGTATGGTAGCCTATGAACACATTAGCTGAATGACCTGTCATTTTTATGTTGTTTTTATTTACTTAACTTATTCTTGCCTGAGTAATCCTTTTGTGTGTGTGTATGTGGCAAGGGTCAGGTAGGAAGAGTTCTGCTGGGGTTTTCAAGTAGCAAAGTTATTTAGTCCTGGTGATGGGCTAAAGTAAGTACTTACAAAAAGTCTGAGCCCCTTGAGCTAAAAGAGATTATATAGTTTGATATCTCCTGATCTTGTTAGGAGCTGCCACTTTATCTTACCAACAAAGGCAATACTGGGGGGAATGATTTGTGTGGCAACAGATACAGATTAGCTGACTGAAATAGCACAGTTCCTTGAAATGGGGTCTTGGTAGGTGTCAGCCCTTAAAAGATTTTCAGCTCTGCAGAAGTACAAGTAGAAGAAACTAGATGCTTGAGAGGCCCATATCATTCAATGTAAATGAATGAATTGCAGATAGGATGATATATGCAGCAGCAGCTAGTTCTTTACCAAGAAAAGGTGAAATTGTTAGAAAAATATCCCCCCTGAAGACATGGCATTTCTGTAAAGTTACAATGCTTGGGCTTACTTAGGAGGATTGGTTTTGGGTAGCAGCGAAGTGCAAGCTTTAAGCTGTAAAGTAATGCTGCTATAATGTCAAAAAGTGTTGAAGCTGGTA